ACACACTTCAAGCTGGTCTCCTGAAGGAAGAGGCACTAATGGCAGGTAAATGCTCAGGCTCCTTTCAGTACCCCGGTGCTCACAGCCTATCCAAGCAGACAGCAGGAAGGTGCCTAGAGTCCCCACCAGAGTGGCTGCCTTTCTCCCTTCTCCCTTGGCCCAGCTCCTGCCAGAGGAGCCACAAAAGCCAGGTTCTGAGGGCTGTAGAAGCTTGGCACCGGCAACAACAAGCTGGTAACCATACATTCTCTATCATCCTCAAAGTCCTGCAAACCCAAAGATAGGACTTTCAAAAACTGAGGAAGGGGGTGCTTGCCCCTATCCTTGTCCATATGGTAACCAGGGTCTGCCTAGTCTCATTCCCAGCCTCTGGGTTCCCTCCTACACTCTAGACTTCAGGGCAGTTAGAATCCTGCTGGGATCTAGGGCTAAATAGAAGCTTCTCTGTCATATTTCCAGTCTGATGAAGAACTGGGCCCCCATTCAAAGAGGTCAGATTTGTGGGCAGGCAAGAGCTCAGGAAAAAAGAACCAAAAAGGAGGGTCTCAACCCCTCTCTAAGGCCAGATGCTCTATGTATTCCCATTAACTTCACAACCAAGTGCAGATGCTTGGTGAATTCAGAGACAACTTGGGTTAGCCCTGCCCCACCTCTCCTGGTGTGACCTGGCACTGGTAACACACAGATTGCAGCAGAAACCTGTTGGTTCCATTAGCACTCAGAGCAAACCAGCACCCCGGTTGCCACTTTTCATCCAGCCATTCTGTCAAAATCAAAACTGGTTGCTTCACCAGCCCTGGTGTGGCATGGCCCAGCCATGTCCCTGCCCCATTTAAATGGGCCAGAGAAAACTACACGGTGGGTACATTAGGTTGAAGCCTTATGTGGGGAAGGGACTTGAGCACAGGAGAAAGGCTTGAGCTCCACAACTCCCTGCCTGCTCAGGCACTGGAGCTTTTCTGAGATCAAATGCTCCCCCGGCCACATAGGGATGCTCCCGCCACTCCACGGTCTGGGCAGGCTGGCTGAGAGAGGTCTGTGCTCTCAGAGACAAGGAGAGAAGGAAACTGGGTCAAGAGACCCTGAAGAGGAGGGTCCATGTCTGCCCTGGAAGAGTTGACTACGTAGACCTTCATGTGTCTAGAAGATTTTTCTTCTCCAGCATGTAACTATCTTGAAAATGGATGTGATCTGTGAAAATTTAAACTTAATACAAAAGCACATCTTCTGCAAATGGTGAGTCAAACTGATGAAATCTCCCAGGTAAACTCTGACCAGGAAAAAGAGACATGACTTTAGGAAAATCCTAAACTAGGTTTGGTTTTAAAATTTTCTTCTTGGCCAGGAAAGGTGGCTCATGCCTATAATCCCAGCACTTTGAGAGGCCAAGGTGGGCAGATCACGAGGTCATGAGATTGGGACCATCCTGGACAACGTGGTGAAATCCCGAATCTACTAAAAAATACAATAGTTGGGTGTGGTGGCATGCGCCTGTAGTCCCAGCTACTCGGGAGGCTGAGGCAGGAGATTCGCTTGAACCCGGGAGGTGGAGGTTGAAGTGAGCAGAGATCTTGCCATTGCACTCCAGCCTGGCAACACAGTGACTGTCTCAAAAGAAAAAAAATAATAATTTCTTGTCTGGCTCGCCTCTCCTGCAAGTTGCCTTTATCCACTTGGGCTGTGATATCAGAACTGAAAAAGCTGCACCAATCTGAGGATGTTGGTCCAAGAAGAGACAAGGAAAAAGAGGCCACAAGGCCCAAGCAGGGAGCATCCACACAGAGCTGAAGGAGGGAGTATGCATATAGTATCCAACCAGAAAGGCCAGTGTCCTTCCTCCATAAAAGGCAGCCAGGAGGGTGAAGGAGAGAACACAGGACCTGCAACTAGGTCACTCACTAAGATAAAACCCACAAGTGCCACATCTCAGGCTAGAGAATACAAAACTTCCTGGTGGGACAGCCTCCCATGGCCAGCTGGAGATGAGATCACTAGTACATGTGGGAGCCCATAAGGCACTATCCCATGTTCTATCCAATTTCCTCCTTGTGCTACTAGAGAGCGGGGCGCAGAGTCCTTGTGTCAAGGTGCTTTGGTCCACCAGAATAGCCACCTGTCACTCAGCCAAGAGAAAGGAGCTTTAAGTTGTACAATCACTACCAAATCGCAAAGCCCTGGCAAGCCATCCAACTAGAGCATTCTTTTTCAGGAAACCAAGATTCTCAAAAATGGCACTCCTCCCTCCCAAAATAAAAAAGCTCCTTTACAGTCAAAAACAAAAACAAGTAATCAAAATATACAAAGCATATGTATCAAATTTAAATTTCCTTTATCAGAATGATGATCTGGCTTCACCTATGAGAACTGGATCTACATGTAAAAAACAAACACGTACAAGACATCAGCAACAAAAAAACACTAAAAGATGATTTTACTATCTCTGACAAGTCCAACTGCATACAGAGAAAAGAGATGAGTAGCCACTTTTTATAGGCTTTTCTTCTGAAGAGACTAACACCATCCACCTCTCAACTCTGCAGCCCACAAATACCTTCTACTGATGGCAACAACACAACTTATCCCTTCAGCAGTGTGCAAAACCACAGTGAACTGTCTTGTGACAGGGCTACATACCTGGCTGCCACCCCACATCCCCCACTGCCACTGGGCTAGTGTGGGTGTGCCTCTGTAAACGACTGGCTGCATTCAGGGTTTTGCCCCCAAACCCTTGAGTACCTCCTACAATGTCCCTTTAAGCACCTGCCTGATGACTGCCTCCCTCATCATCACTTTTGATCATCTTTCAAGGATAAGGTCTAGACCATACTCACTCATTCGCATCCAAGAGGAGGGGAAGAAGGGTCTGTCCAGCCTGCTGGGCTCCTTACATGGGCATTCTTGCCTTTTGTGGTGTAGCCCTGGCTGTTAGGCAGGGCCAACATCTGTAAGAAAAACATGCCAGGGCAGGCAGCACTGTACTTTTCCTCCTGAAAGATGAGCTGGTGCCCATGGCTGGGACATTCTCTGTCCTGCGTGAACTTGTCCATCAACTGCGTTTTGCTGTTTGGGTTGTAAATTAAATGTGAATACAAATAACCAATAAAATCCTTTCCACCGACCAACTCCTCAGCCAGTGCATGCAGGGCTCTGGAGGTGATGCCAGCAGGATTTGGAGGTGAGGCACTGGGTGGTTTCTCAGACACCTGGAGATGGCTTCCACCCCAGCCACCTAGTGCACTGGCATCCCTCCATCACAGGCTAATTCCCCAACATCCGTGTGCCATCAAGTTTCTCAAATGCACACGCCAGATGCACGTTTTATGAGAATCAAATGATTATACTGTGTGTGTGTGTGTGTGTGTGTGTGTGTAAATTAATCTGCATGTACATAAACACTACAAGGAGAAATTCCAAGTGTCTGTTCTCTGGAGGAAAGCAATCACTCCCCATTCCTGGCAATTCCTCAAAGGTTTTTGAGACCAAAAATCTTCACTCCCCAAATGGTAAGAATACAAAAATAGGCTGCAAAACTTGCTAAGTACTTACAGTCCCTGTTTGAAAGAAATAAGATGTGGTCCCTATTGGGACAGGGAGGGCAGAAGATGACACTTTAGAAGAACATGATTTTGGTTTCCAAAGAAGCCCTCTCCTGGAAGGCAGGAGGGGCTACCGCCATGCTTGTCTTTGGAGCCACATGAGAATGCTGCCCTGCCAGGTCTAATTCCTTGGGGTGAGGGAGAAGGACGGTTCCTAAACCACCACCAGTGCTTCTTGCCCAAAGCCCCTGCCCTCTCTCTGGGGTCTTCTAGCACTGTCACTCAGCCAGCCCAGGAGGTGTCTGTGCCAACAAGGCCTGGCACTTGTGGCTTGGCACTCTTGGAAGCAGGTGGTTTCTCAGAGGTGAGCGGAGCTATAGGTGGACAGGTCTTTAGTTCACCCCTCTTTACCAGCCAGTCTCAGAGCAGCCGGTCTTGGGGAAATTGGGGATTCACCATTTAGTACAGCTCTGTAAGCATGTTTTCTAATTTTCAAAGGCACCCTTTCCTGTAATTTTCTCAATTCAAAAAAGGACATGAGGGTTAGGCTAAAGTAGAGTTTTTGTTTCCAAGTTTGGGGATATAAATATAGAATTTTGAAAGCATCCTCACAAGGACCAGTGATGCCCAGCACCCTCGGGCATGCATCCAGCACACCAGCCAGGCCCTGGGGTGGGAGCCAGGGGCACTCTGGGTGTCCTGCCAGGGACCACTGCATGCAAGTGTTTGTGCTAAAGACCACCCTACCTCTGACAATTCCAAGAAGTGAACAAATCCCTTCAGCCTTCACTTTTACTAATGGGCCAGTGTGTTCTTCCTTCCCAAACATAGGAGGCTCTGAAATGAATGCGGAGAAAGGGCTCTGAAAACCGCAGTAGTCAAAGCTACAGGCGGTGGCTATAGACTTCCACTTACATCCCCACCTCATTTCTTTTTTCCATCTTCCTCTCACTCCAAACATGTCTAGATTAAAAAAAAAAAAATTGCAGGCACATAGGTCAGCATATTAGGCTTAACAACACATGTTTCTTCAGTTGATCTGGTAACTGATAAGTTAGGGTCCATGATTCAAACTCCCGTGAAAAAGCAGAATTACGGTAACAACTAAAGAAAGTGGTAAAGCATCCAACATTAATCACATTGCCAGTCCATTTTTTGAACAGAGGGTTACAGCAGGTTCTGCACTGAGTAGCCCACAAGGCAAACCAAGCCTGGCATGAAATGTTAGCTGGTCACCATTTAATGCAGCAGAGATCCCTTCAAAGGTATTGCTTCCTTGAGGAACACAAAGGTGGCACCAAGGGGTTCCAGACGTAGCTTTGAGTGTGCCTGTAACTTCCCTGCCTGACTGTGGAAGGTGAGGGGCACCTGCGACCCAGCGATCCCCAGAGAACAGACACAGGTCATTTTGAGAGATGATGTAAAGGACAATGCACTGCTTGGCTAACCAAAGCTTCTATGTAATGACAGTGTTGATAATCTGATATTTTATTCAACATATATAGGCGGATGTATACGTTAAAAACTTGATTCTGTGTCTATGAATATGAATATGAAATCTGAACTATTTTATCCATTGGAAGGTAAAGGAAAGGTCCTACATTGTGGGAGGAAGAACTGATGAGAACCCTGTCTTTCTTGCTGCTTGCTTGGTGGTGAGCAGGCCAAGGATAGCGGCAGGCTCTGGACTGTCTGCGAGGACTCCGGAAGCTTTCTCAGGTGCCCAGCAGCCGGGCATGGGAACGGCATGTGGCAGCAGAGGGTTGGGTTTGGCTCTTCCACGTGGCAGGCGGTATCCCAGACTGGCCAGTCCTTCACATTAATCAGATCAAATTCAGTCTGTTTCTGAGAAGAAAACACATGCCTGTCACTCCACAGCAGCTGCCACCTGTGGTAGCCCCCAGGGCAGCGTGGTCCTTGCTATACCAGGGTGGTGTCACTGGCTTTGAGGATCTCTTAATTCCATGAGCAATGCCCTTCTGCCAGCCACTACCCCACCCTCCAGCCTGAGGGAATGTGGGTTAAGGACAGGATGCTGGCTCAACCTGGCAAGGCTATCAGACTCTCTGAGGGAACTTGCCAGGCCCCAGGCCTAGCAGCTGGAGCAGCAGTTTGGCCTCTCCAGGCCCACTAAATCCCCCTAGCTCCCCAGGCTTCCGCTACCACCATCTCTGGCGTCCTGTCCTAAAATGCTTCATCCTGCCCTCTCCCTCCAGGCTCTCCAGAACATACTGTTCCAATATAATAGCAGCTAGGTCTAGTTCTGATATGTATTCTACTGATGTCTTCACTTCACTTGCAACTTGCAACCCTAAAGTCAAAGTCAAAGTAAGGCTGATATCAGAGAGGTCCATCATCTGTGATTATAGAGATATGGCCCTTAATCACAGCTGGCTGAGAAAGCCATGAGAAACCAGGTACAGATAAACAGACCAGCCCTTCCTGTACCCAGAGTTACCTGTCTCAGATACAAGAGGACAATGTCAATGGCATGGCCACCCCCTGCCACTCCTGCTCTGTCCCACAAAGGAGAGCAACACATCACTTTGTGTTGGATTTGGTAGCTGAGGGGAGCCAATGCTTGTGATTACACCACTCATCACATTTTCATGTTGACTTAAAAAAAAAAAAAAAAAACCATGGTAAAATATAAATAACATAAAATTTACCATTACAACAATTTTAAGTGTACAATTCAGTGGCATTAAGTATATTTACAATGTTATGAAACCATCATTCTATTTCCAGAAATTTTTCATCATCCTAAACAGAAATTATATATCCATTAAAATATAACTCCCCATGTCCTCCTCCCCTTAGCCCCTGTAACCTTTATTCTACCTTCTATGTCTATGAATTTACCTATTCTAGATACCTCACATAAGTTGAATGGTACAATATTTGTCTTTTTGTGTCTGACTTATTTCACTCAGCAAAAATGTTTTCAAGGTCCATCCATGTTGTAGGATGTATCAGAATTTTATTCCTTTTTTTAGCTGAAGAATATCCTACTGTATGTCTACACACCACATTTTGTTTATTCATCTGTTGATAAGTACTTGGGTAGTTTCCACCTTTTGGCTACTGTGAATAATGCCACTAGGAACACTGGTATACAGGTACAGGTGAGTCCGTTTTCAGTCCTTGGGGTGTATACCTAGGAGTGAAACTGCTGGATCATATGGTAATTCTATATTCAACTTCTGGAAGAACCACCTAATTGTCTCCCAAAGTGGCTGTACCATTTTATGTTCCCACTAACAATGCACAAGGGACCCAGTTTCTCTACATCCTCCCAACACACTATTTTCTCTGGGTGTGTGTTTGTAACAGCCATCGTAAGTGTGAAGTGGTATCTCACTGTGGTTTTGATTTGCATTTCCTTAATGCCTTATGTTCATCATCTTTTCATGTACTTATTGGCCATTTGTATATTTTCCTATGAGAAATGTCTGTTTAAATCATTTGCCCATTTTTGGATTGGTTTTGTTGTTAAGTTTTAGGAGTTCTATACATATTCTGAATATAAATCTCTTATCAGATGTATGATTTTCAGTTATTTTCTCCCATTCTGTGAGTTCTTTTCATTCTTTTAACAGTGTTCTTTGAAGCACAAAATATTTAGATTTTGATGTAATCCAAATTATCTATTTTTTTCTTTTGTTGCCTATACTTTGGGTATATAAGAAATCATTGCCTGGCCAGATGGGTGGCTTGTACCTGTTACCTCATCACTTTGGGAGGCTGGGAGGAATGCTTGAAGTCAGGAGCTCAAGACCAGCCTGGGCAACAGCAAGATCCTGTCTACACACACATACACATACACACACAAATAAAATTAGCCAAGTGTGCACACTTGTAATCCTAGCTACTCAGGAGGCTGAGGTAGGATGATTGCTTGAGCCCAAGATTTTGAAGCTAATTTTCCCAGCACCACTTGTTGTAGAGGGTGTCTTTTCCTCAATGTATGTTCTTGGTACCTTTGTTGAAAATCAGTTGGCTGTAAATATGTGGCTTTATTTCTGAGTTCTATATTTTTTTCCTTTGGTCTGTGGGTCTATTTTTATACCAATATCATGCTGTTTTGGTTAGTATAGCCTTGTAATATATTTTGAAGTCAGGTAATGTGACGTCTACAGCTTTGTTCTTTTTGCTCAAGATTGCTTTGACTATTTTAGCTTTTTTTTGGTCTGTACAAATTTTAGGGTTTTTCTATTTCTGTGAAAAAACTACATTGGTATTTTGACAGCAATTGCATTCAATCTGTAGACTGCTTTGGGCAGTATGATCATTTTAATGATATTAGTTTTTCCAATCCATAAGCATGGGATGTCTCTCCATTTATGTCCTCTTCAATTTCTTTCATCAGTGTTTTATAGTTTTTCTTCCAGAGATCTCTCACCTCCTTGATTAAATTTATTCCTAAGTATCTTTTTTTTTGGTAGCTAATGTAAATCAGATTACCTTCTTGATTTCTTTTTCAGCTATTTTATTATTGGTGTATAGAAACTACTGATTTTTGCATGTTAACTTTATATCCTGCAACTGTCCTGAATTTGCTTATCAGCCTTAAGAGTTTTTTGGCGGAGTCTTTTTGGTTTTTCTAACTATCAGATCATGTCATCTGCAAAAAGGCACAATTTGACTTTCTCTTTTTCAATTTGGATGCCTTTTATTGCTTTCTCTTGGCTGATTTCTCTGGCTAGAACTTCCAGTATTATGTTGAATAGGGGTGGTGAAAGTGGGCATCCTTGTCATGTTCCAGTTCCCAGAGGAAAGACTTTCAGCTTTTCCCCATTCAATATGATGTTAGCTGTGGGATTATCATTTATGGTCTTCCCTATCTTGTTCTTTCTATGCAGTTTTCTGCGTGTTTTTATCATGAAGTCATGTTGAATTTTATCAAGTGCTTTCTCTGTTTATTGAGATGACCATATGATTTTTGCTCTTCATTCTGTTGATGTGATGCATTGCGTTAATTGAATGGTGTATGCTAAATCATCCTTGCATTTCTGGTACAAATGTTACATGATGATAATAATAATTTTTATTTATTTTTTTTTTTGAGATGGAGTTTCCACTCTTGTAACCTAGGCTGGAGTACAGGGGTGTGATCTCGGCTCACTGCAACCTCTGCCTCCTGGGTTCAAGCAATTCTCCTGCCTCGGCCTCCCAAGTAGCTGGCATTGCAGGTGCACGCCACCATGCCTGGTTAATTTTGTATTTTTAGAAATGGGGTTTCACCATGTTGGCCAGGCTGGTCTCGCACTCCTGAACTCAGGTGATCCGCCCACCTTGGCCTACCAAAGTGCTGGAATTACAGGCATGAGCTACCATGCCCAGCCAAGGATTATTGATATGTGAAGTTTTGTTATTGTTATGTTGTTGTTTTCTGGTTGATGTATTTTTTGTTTCCTTTTCTTTCACTTGGTATTGTAGTTTAGTGGTTTTCTGTAGTGCATTTGAGTCTTTTCTCTTCCTCATCTCTGTGTTTTGCCAGTGAGTTTTATACTTTCATGTGTTTTCATAGTGGTAAATGTCATACTTTCACTTCCATGTTTAGGACTCGTGAGCATTTCTTGTAGGGGCAGTGTAGTGGTGAAAAATTTTCTCACCTTTTGCTTGTCTTGGAAATACTTTATTTCTCCTTTGTTTATGAAGGATAATTTTACTAGACATAGTATTCTTGGCTTTTTTTCCCCTTCAGCCCTGTGGATATATCATCTCATTTTCTTCTGATCTGTAATGTTTCTGCTAAAATTCACTGTTAGTCTAATGGGGCTTCTTTTTTTTCTGAGACAGTCTTACTATGTCACCAGGCTGGAGGGTAGTGGCGCAATCTCGGCTCACTGCAACCTCCGCCTTCCAGGTTCACGTAATTCTCCTGCTTCAGCCTCCCAAGTAGCTGGGACTACAGGTGTCTGCCACCATGCCTGGCTAATTTTTTTTGTATTTTGAGTAGAGATGGAGTTTCATTATTTTGGCCAGGCTGGTCTTGAGCTCCTGACCTTGTGACCCACCCAGCCTCAGCCTCCCAAAGTGCTGGGACTATAGGTGTGAGCCACCATGCCCGGCTATGGGGCCTCCTTTATAGTTGCTTAGACATATTTATCTTGCTGTCCTTAGAATTCTCTGACTTTAGACAGTTTGACTATAATGCATCATGGAGAAGACCTTTTAGCATTGTATCTGTTTGGGGGTATCAGGGCCTCCTATATCTAGATGTCTAAATCTCTTGCGAGATTTGAGAAGCTTTCATCTATTAATATTATTCATTTAATAAGTTTTCTCACTCTTTCATTTTCTTTTTTTTAACCCTCTGGGATCCCAATAATGCAGATATGTAGCTGCTTTATTGTGTCCCATATGTCACAAGGGCTTTGCTCATTTTTCTTTATTCTTTTTCAGGTAAAAAGACCTGTGTTCCAGATCTAAGATTTTTTTTCTGCTTGATCTAATGTATTGTCGAAGCTTTCAATTGTGTCCTGTGTACTTTGTTTCATGAAGTCTTCTGTTCAAGAACTTTTTTTTAATACATATATCTCTTTGATAAAATTATCATTCATTTCCTGAATTGTTTTCCTTATTTTTCACATTCTCTTACATCTCACTGAGCTTCCTTATACTCAATAATTAAAATTCTTTTTCTGGGATTTTGTGAGTTTTTTATTGGAATCTATTGTTAGAACTTTATTGTGTTCTTTTGAAGGTGTCATATTTCCTTGCTTTTTCACACTTCTGTGTCCTTATGTTGATATCTGCACATCTGGTGTAACAGTTGCTTCTTTCAATTTTTTGCATTTGCATTTGTAGGGAAGAACTTTCTCCTAGATGTTTCTACGGTG